CCGAGGTACTAGGGTGGCAATCTGCCAAGGGCTTGAGGACAACACTCCATTTACACAAAATGAAACAGATGACAACCACACTTTAGCTGAATACAGAGGCAGAGCCATAGGGTAATACAGGTCCAAACATGACAAGCTTCTTGCTGGGCTGGCTCCCCAGCCTTGCTTAGAGCATGTGTACTGTTCTTCATGGAAGTCCTGGGTTCAGCCTAGCCACCCCTGCTCAGCACTGATAACAAATAAACTTTATTCCTATCTTTCCCGAGCCTGGCAGCTGTTGTAAAACTTGAAACTATGCATAAGAATCACACTTGAAATTGTGTCCCCTATACACTTCCACTAAAACAGAAATACAAAAGCCACAATAATCCCAATAGCCAGCGGACATTCCTCTTTAGGGGCTGTAAGGTGGTGGCTTTTCAAAAGGCGGATAGTAGGGTGGAGAGTAACGGGGTGGTGCACTGGAGGACCACATGTAGCTGGGTGAAGGAGAGGCAGACTGGGGCTCATCAGAAAGTCCAGAGGGAGGCGAGGGTGGAAAGATACCAGAATGCTGTGTAATGAAAATAAAACAACATCAGTTTGGGCAGTGAGGTTGTAATTCCCCAAAGTCAGTTGTTATTTAAAAATGAAATGTAGACCAAGTTTGTTTCTGTTTGGAACAACAAAGAGCTAAAACCACAAAGTTAATGAGGGGCATGAAACTGGGCTGGTCTCACTTTCTCTTGGTCACTCAAGCTGTGAAGCTCATGCAGAGATATCTTGGACTCCTTCTACCTCTCTCATTGAACCTCTTTTCCATGTTTATAACTCAAGCCTTCAATACCTCTCTCTGAGCTATGGCAATAGCATCCCAACTAGTCTTCAAAAAGGTAGTTTGGGCCTTAAGAATATTTGATGTTAAGTCACTAATACATGGGGAAGTCTTTGCTACAAGAATATATCACAGATCCCATCTCATAAACAAAACAAAAACAGGTCAGAGAGGTTAAATGGCTTTCTTGGATCTGTAGTCTTTGTGTTTTTTTTATCCTCAACCATGGATATGTTTTATTGATTCTTAGAGAGAAAGGGAGAGAAACATTGATATGAGAGAAACATTGATCAGTTGCCTCCTGTATGCACCCTGACCAGGGATCAAACCCACAACTCAGGTATGTGCCCTGACTGGGAATTGAACCCGCAACCATTTGGTGTATGGGATGATGCTTCAACCAACTGAACCACCCGGCCAGGGCTGGACCTGGAGTCTTTAAGTCCAACTTCAATTTCATCTTAACTGTGGCCCACCCCTCAGGAACAGGGTAGGTGGGAGAGAAAAGAACAAAGGCATGAATAAGAGGGCGGAGTGTGGGTTAATGGGGGGGGGAGAAGGACACATTTGTAATACCTTAACCAATAAAGAATTTTTAAAAAAGAGGGTGGAGCAATATGTAAAGTTGCAGAGAGACTGAGGATTCCATTTTACTTTGTGTTGTCTAACTGGTGGTCTTTGAAAAGGGAGCAGATTTGGATTTAAGAAATACCAAATGAATTGGCATGTTCGGAGTCATTTGCCCCGTCTCCTTCCCTGGACCCTAATGATTTTTCTGCTCTAAAAGAGTTGGCCTGTTTTGTTCATTGCTGTATCCTCCAGGGTTCAGAACAGAGCTTGGCAAGTAGTAGGTACTCAATAAATATTGAATGAGTGACTATAACTTCAGGAGTATGTAAGATGAACTTGGCATGTTTATTTTTTTAAATGATACCTATTTTCAAAGAATGGTCACATCTCATGGGGATCGTTGCCTTGCTCCAATGGTAGAGCATGGCTGAGATCTGAAGGCTGGAGGAGGCTGGGGAGATGGCAAGAGGCAAGAGGTCAGTTTTAGGCTCTCCAGAAGAGCAAACATAATCTAACAAACAGGGCTGGAGAATGGTCTCAACTCTAGGAGGAGTTGGTATACTTTTTTTAAAAACCCACTTACACCAAAATTTCTTAAGAGTTCAAGTACTGTTTGGAGAGGTTGCACCCTTACTTTGTTCAGCTTGCCAGAGTCTGAGTAGATTATGTATTTTTTTCCAGGCCTAGAACAATCTAGAGTCAGCCTGAGACCAGCTGGCTGATTCTCCTCATTCCCAGTCCTGACCACTGCCCAGGTTTCTAGGCTTTACTTGAGACACTGAAATATCTGTCCCTTACCACCTAATGTTAGGGCTGAGAAGGAATTGTAGCTGCAATCTTCCCCCTTCCTCTCCCACCCCACCCATTATTTCATCTTGAATGAAGGATTGACAGGTTCATACAACCTGCAAAGCTGTTCAAGGCAAAACAACTTGAGGCAATGGATTCAAGCCAGATTCCTTTCTAAAATCTCAATTTTTTCTTCCCTCCAAGGGAATATGTATCAGTCTGGTGATTCCCTAGTTTTTTACTCTGTGCCCCAGAACTCTTTCTCCTTCTCTCCCTCCTTCCTCTTCTGCTGCTTTCTTGAACTGATAACACTGTCTTAACCGAAGAGGAGAGCAAAACCCCACCAGGAACCAGATCTCTGCTGGGGGTATGGAACTCTGTCCTTTGAATCGAGCTCTAGGATGGGTAGAGTCAGGAGGCCATTTTCATGTGTTCCCAGCCACAAAAGGGAGGGGCACATTTCCTACAGTGGAGCCAAAGGCAGTTCTGTCCTGAAAGGCATTAAAAGGCTTCTGTGGGCAGCAGCTGCTGTGGGTGGCAGTTGTACACTTTGATAATAAAAGGGGGTGGTACAACGGCCTTTGGTTTTCACTTCTGAGTTTCATGTTTGGGAAGTATTAGCAGGGGGAGAGGTGGAATGATTCTCACTTCCTTTGAGGCTGCTGGGAGTCTTAAGGATAAAATTGAAGGGCTCTTGGCAGAGCTACAGGGCTCATTGGCTGCAGTCCACACACCCTTGGGGTTTGAGTTGTTGGGGGTGGGGAGGAAAGGCCCACAGTACCAGTGCATAGTTTCCTAGCAACAGGCAGGCACCTTGGGAAAGATCTGGCTTTGTTGCAGCCGAGGAGCTGGCCTGGTGCATTTTGGTTCCTGCCTAAGAGTCGACTTTACTAATGGGACAGGCAACTCAGAAGAACAGAGCTTTGAATCCTTGCACACCACAAAGCATGAAAACCATCTAAAAAGCCTACTGCTAGGCCTACTCGGCTCAAACTACCCAAGCTGCTTCTTAGAGGCTGGGGTGCCTACAGGCTGATGGCACTAGAAGAGGACCACCACCCTTTCAGGACACACAGAGCTCTCTTGCATCTTTGCCTGCCCCCTCTCTGCAGGATGGCTAACCCATACTCTATAAGACCAACCTACATTTCTGTTACAGTGGGCTTCTCTCTTCAGAAGTACTGGAAGGCAGTAACTCAGAAAATAGCCCTGGCACTGATCAGGTGATAAAGGTTACCAGCAAGAGATGCTGTGTTCCCAGGGGAAAAGCCAGAGTCTCCTGGTCTTTGCATCCCCCCACCCCCCGTTTCTTCCCCAGAAAGAAAAGCCAGGGAAGATTGAGAGGAGAGTGGCTAAAAGGAAGAGGAAGAAAAGGAAGGGAGAGGTCAGAAACCTGAGAAAGGAGGAGAATAAAGGAAAACCTTGGCAGGAGGAGGGAAATAAAGAGAAAAAGTTGAGTGGCAGCAGCAGCAACACTTTCTAAGGCTCTTAGCAACCTGTGCTATACACCACCTCCCCCAGGAAAGCAGACCTTTCATTAAATGGGTCCAATTTATAAAGGGTCATTTTTTCACGGCTAAGATGAAATCTAGTGTGTACCCTCATGTAGTTAAATAAAGAGCATAAACAGAGGTGCTTACAGTTTTCATAGGCTTAGACTTTTGTTTTAAGCTAAACTTGGCAATTCACCAAATGGACAGGAAACAGATCAGTCCATGGTTAGAATAAAGCTGGGGGACTTGCCCAGCAGCTAGACCGGGAAGTATGGCTGGAATCCTTAAGTGGTTTACATAAAGTTACGCTGGGTTGACTTTCCCAGGAGAGGTAGAAACTGATGCTTTTGACCTGATAGACTTTAGACTACTTGGCTGGAGCTGAAGGACAGGTAATGGGGAAATGAGTGCAAGGGGCAAGAGAAGTGAGTATTGGGGTGATGAGCAGGGAGGCAAAGGTAGTCTGTTTATCTCCTTCCTGTCTTGGGGGATGGGGATTTCATTAGAACAGTGGTTCTCAACCTTCTGGCCCTTTAAATACAGTTCCTCATGTTGTGACCCCACTATAAAATTATTTTTGTTGCTACTTCATAACTGTAATGTTGCTACTGTTATGAATTGTAATGTAAATATCTGATATGCAGGATGGTCTTAGGTGACCCCCGTGAAAGGGTCGTTCGACCGCCAAAGGGGTCGCGACCCACAGGTTGAGAACCGATGCATTAGAAGCGAGAACACCTTGGAGCCCCATGTTTGAAAGAATCCTGTTTCTCCAAGCTCAGCTCTCACAGAATCCTCGGGGCCAGCTGACCAGAACCAAGTGCCTGCTCATGTCTGTCCACAAGAAATGTTTCCCAAGCTTCCTAATTTGACAGCTACCCAGTAAGGGCATGACTTTTAGGGGTTCAAACAAAACCCTATAAATCTCTTTCTTCTTCCTTCTATCAGCTTCAGGGTAAAAGGGAAGCAGAAGTCACCAGAATAGTCCTATTTGGAAATGAGCAGAAAGGAGAAGTCATCCAGAAGAAAGTCTAGAAAGGTCAGTTTTCCTGATATGATTTGGGCCCTTTTACAATCTGAGAAGAGCATAGGGAGCTCTGGCTTTTTTGGGGCGGGTAGATGAGGTCTGCGCTTCTGGTGGTTTTATTATAAGAGCTAGTGTACATTTTGTTGACTGCCTTTTTAAAAATTTTTAAAATTTATTAAGTGAGAGAGAGAGAGAGAGAGAGAGAGAGAGACTTGTGTTCCACTTATTTATGCATTCATTGGTTGATTCTCGTATGTGCTCTGACCTGGGATTGAACCCACAGCTTTGGCATATTGGGACGATGCTCTAACCAACTGAACTACCTGGTCAGGGCCTGACTGATTTCTATTTATCTGAGAACATAAGCAGATGTTCCCCCGTCCTTTTGGCTTTCTTGGGTAAAGACTGGTATTTCCTCCTATGAAACTATAGGGGAATGGAATTTAGTGAACACAAAAAAGCTCAACTCAAATACTAGATTAGAACAAAATACCATTTAAGTTCTAAAGGGAAGCAAATCATGTAACATACCCCTCATATCCCCATCAAACAACTATAAAGTCTCCAAAAGGAAAATACAAAAGACAATTTGAACCCAGGGAAAGAACTAGGAGAGGTATGTGTCCCAGTAGCCCCTGCAGTGTTGAGCAATTTAATAATGTAATAAGAGACCCTTTCTGAGTCTGATTAGGAAGCCCATAATTTAAACCAGTAGAAATATAAATATCTTAAAATTAACTGGGGGAAACATCTGTGCTGTGTTCAAATGTACAGCTTTTCCAAAGAACCTCAAGCCAAACTCTCAAGTCAGACCTGGATACAAACCCTTGCTTTTCCACTTAACATCTCTGTGGGGTAGTCACTTACTTTCTCCATGACTTAGTCATCTCATCTTAAAAATGACAATGACAAGGATATTTTCATCAAAGGACTAAGTAAGATGATATATATAAAAACACTTCTTAGCATAGTGCTTGATACATAGTAAGTGCTCAATGTATAGCAGCTGTTATTTAAAAGTAGAGGCCTCCTCAAATCCCTGGAGGCCCTGCTATGAGCCCATAGTGTAGGTCTGGGTGAGGTGGCTAGATTTGGATCCCTGCCCAGCCAGTGTTGCTCAGTGGATTAAGCATCATCCCATGGTCCAAGAGGTCTCCGGTTGGATTCCGTGTCAGGTCACATGCCTAGGTTGTGGGCACAATCCCCAGTAGGGGGCACGCAGGAGGCAGCCTATCAATATTCCTCTCTCATCAATGTTTCTATCTCTCTCTCCTCCCTCTCTATCTAAAAATCAATAAAAACATTTAATAAATTTGGGTCCCTTTGCTGGGTTAGGTATCCTGTTTTTGGGTTTCCATAGCACTCTTGGTAATAGTCTATTTACTTTTTTGTCCTCACTGCTGTCCCCTATCACTCCCTCAAGTCTAGAGACTGTCTCATTCATAATGCAGGGCCTATGCCTCAGTTTCTCTATCCTCAGCTCTTAGCACAGTGCCTAGAACATGGGAACACAATGTAAATATTAGCTGAACTGAAACCAATAGCTTGAGTCACCACTGGCATTGTCAATCTTGCCTTCATCCCTGGAGCAGTGTTTGAATGAGGAATGATAGAGAAAGAGATGTCTCCATATTCTAAGATAGCGCTTCCTATCTTATTTTTTTAATAAATCTTTATTGTTCAGATTATTAGTTGTTCCTCTTTTTTCCTTCCATAGCTCCCCTCCACCCGGTTCCCATCCCACCCCATGCCCTTACCCCCCCCACTGTCCTCGTCCATAGGTGTATGATTTTTGTCCAGTCTCTTCCCGCACCCCCCACACCCCGTTCCCCGAGAATTGTCATCCATTCCCTTTCTATGTCCCTGATTCTAGGTGCATCACCAGTTCATACTGTTAATCAGATTCTTTA